AACATTTATAGAGATTTGGATTTCCATTTATTCATGGTTGCACTTTTCTCCCTGCCCACCTCTCCCCTCTCCCCAGTTTGCTCTTCTCTTTGAAAAGTAGAAGAAAAATTCCTTCATTGGTATACAATCCCCACACACACATCCCTCCCCACCCCCAACCCGGAGTACTCTCCACTATGCAACCTTCATTCTGGACTCTTCTGATAACCATAATACCCTATCATATATTCCTTTTAAACAGTTCTCTTCCTCATCTGTTTCAATGCTAAAGACATCATTCCTCCCCTCCTTCTTTTTGGAACCAGTCTACCTGTCCTGGAGCAGCTGATAGAGTTAAACAACCAAATTTTCTGCCTAGCAGTACTACACATCACACACTATCCCATGTACTTCTCCTTTAAAACAGAAGTAGTTGTTGTGTGCGAGTGGTAACACATCCTGTTAATATAGCATCTCAACTGTACATACTCATGCTATACAAAATACTAAACATACTGAAACTACAGAGGAAAGTTCTCTATGTACCATATTTACTGCATTTTCTTTCTCCTCTCGCTAAGACAAACCAGAGAGAGGAATCTGTGGTTTCTAGATCCTAAGGTACTGCCATCTCAGAAGTTTTATTGCCTTTGTAAATCCTCATGTCTGTATTCCAAGACTCTCAGGCTCCGTGATCCCAGAGTTACATCGCTCTCAGGGGTCCACTAACCTTGAGTCCACATGCTTTGAGCCGTACATGTGTCAAGAGAGACAAGTGACCTGTCAGTGGCAGATGGGCATACCTCTTCATTTGTAAAGTGAGAGATCAGCTTCAGTGACATAACCAATGTGGAGTTACTCTGTGAACTGAAAGTGCTATCATGTGTAAGCTGGAATGATGTTAAAAATCAGAGGAAATCCTTTCCCTGGTGCTTGGCTCTAACTTAGTTTGGAGGAGCCAGCCTCCCTCTACCTGCCCACCCAGAGAAGGACAGAAAGGGAAAGTGGGGCTACTTTGTGCAATGAAGAGCCGTGGTGGGTCAGTGGTTACGTTTAAACCAACTTGGTTTAAGATAACGTTACGGTTATGATTATCTTGGTTGCTAATCAAAAGGATGGCAGATTGAACCCATCCATCAGCTTCACAGGAAAGAGACTTGGCGATCCATTTCCACAAAGGTCTCCGGCCTGGAAAACCCTGTGGGCAGCTCTCCTCTGCCACAAGGGGTCTCTGTGAGTCACAGTCAGCTCCACACCCAAAGTTGTGCAAGATACAAGATGTAGAATGAGACCTCCCCGATGACTGCCTCCCACCCAGACTGCCCGTGCCAGGTTGTGTTTGAACTTATTTTGTTAACCTTGAGCAGAGAAGTAATCAGCTCCACATGATTACCATTCATAGGGGAGAGATATAATAGCTGAGAGGATCATTCACAGAAATATTTTTTAGCTCCCATAAAATTCTTGTGGAAGGAGGAAATGACTAAATAAAAGCATTAAACATTCTGGTTTTTCCAAACCCTTGGTCAGAGAAAAAAAAAACTATCTGGTCCCACAGAAATGTCATCCGCCTGAATTTTAGTTTCTGTCTTAGTTTCCTAGTGCTACTGTAACAGACAAAAGGAGGTAGCTTTGAAGAACAGAAGTTTATTTTTTCACAAATTCTGGAGCCTGAAAATCTTGGTTGTGCTTATTGCTTTTTTGTAGCTAATCCCAGGCTTCCCTTGGCTCCTTATTTATAGACAATTCTCACGTGGTATCTGGGGAGTGAGAGAGAGTGAATGAGAGAGAGAGAGAGAGAGAGAGAGAGAGAGAGAGTGTGTGTGTGTGTGTGTGTGTGTGTGTGTGTGTAATCTGCTCTTTATAACTCAAAAGTTATTAGATTTATTTAGAACACACCATACTCAGGTATGATTTAAATAACATAACAAAACTCTTTCTCCAAGCAGTATTATATCTGCAGGGTTAAGATTTCAGCACTTATTTTGGGGCCTAATCCAGTCCCTCGCAGCCACCTTCAAAGTCTGATATCTAACAGACTCCCAGGTAGAAATCTCTCCTCCTGCCCTACGCATATTTCGATATAAGAAGAAGGAGGGGCTGCCTTGACCTAGAGATGCCAAGTGTGCAGAGACCAGAGATTTTTGAAACTTTATTCACCTCCAGTGGGCCTTTAAACTGAAACAGAAGCATCATTGCATGTTTGCTCTGTGAGTCTGAGTTCTGGTCATCACTGAGTTGGTATCTGAGGACTCCTTTTTTTCCTTTTTTTATCTTAACACTAGACAAGTGAAGAAGAAGAAGAGGAGGAGCTAGAGGAGGAGGAGGAGGATCTGGAAGAAGACAGGAAATCCATAAAAGAAGAGGAGAGTGAAGCCCCAAAGTCCCCGGAGCCTCCGCCGCCAGTCACAGTCGCTGCCCTGGCTCCCGCTGAAGGGCCGCCTGTCCAGGCCCTCGGCCAGCCCTCGGGCTCCTTCATCTGTGAAATGCCCAACTGTGGGGCCGTAAGTGTCTCCGCCGTGTCGTGCCCGGGCTCCAGGACTAGCCAGGTCTGTGCAGCTGTGCCTTACTTTAAGGGTTTCAGCGGAAACAGTTCTAGTTTAGCAGAGGGAGCTCCAAGCTCCCATTGTTTCCCTTCTTTTCTTCCAGGTACTCACTCATTCAGTCAGAAAAGGTTTTTAGAGTATGTTCTGAGTCAAACACCTTGAAAGGTCAGGGGACACATTGAAGGTCCCTGCCCCAGCAAATATTTCACTCAGAGTGCTGTCAAATCCTTTGCAATGTCTCTGCAGTGATCACTGACTTCCAGAACTTTCCAGCCACTCTTCTTGGTGCTTCTCCACTCCTCTGGGCTGTGAGCCATACAAGCCACACCCTGTAAACATGCATTTAAATACTACAGGGCCATTCACAGAGGAAGATCATTTTTAATAACTGAATACCCCACCCCCTACAATTTTACCTCTCTGAACAAATTTCACATCTTATATTCCATTAAGTGTTCACGATTCCAGTACAATCACTATGAAGTTTGAGGACATTGTTGAAGATTTAGCCAGAGTTGAATAACTTTGTACTCTGTGGGAATATAAAAATATTTACTATGCAAATTCAGCCTTGTGAAAAGGAGCGCTGGTGGTACTGTGGTTAAACACGCAACTGCTTAACCGAAAGGTCTGTGGTTCAAGCCCACCAGCCACACTCAGAAGGAGAAGGATGTGGTATCTGCTTCTGTAAAGACCGAGAGCCTTGGAGCCTCCGAAGGTGTTCTACTCTGCCCTGTAAGGTCGCTGTGAGGTCATCCTTCTCATCAAAAGTGCATACAGAATCTGCATTGGCCTTATCTAAGGCTCTGTGTGTATTTTAAAGAATCTTATTTGGGACTCTTCTCAGTCCCCATCAGTTTGAAAACTCCTTTCTGCTCACAGTCAGAGTGAACTGGTGAGCATTTGCTGAAGGGGATTCCTTCAAGCCAGGCACACCTGTGTAAACAGGTTCCATATAATACCCTCAAAAATGAGACACTGATTCTTTTCCACAAGAAAGTTTCCCTCAAATTGGTACTCTAATTGATTGTTCACTATATAGGACAGCTCTAGTCTACAGGGTTTATTGGCTGTTGTTTGTTGACTGTCACTTAGATGAAGAAAGCAGAAACAATTTAAAAGTTTAGATCTTAAAGCAGAAATTCACGTGATTTATATCGTTGAGGTTGGGGTGGGTGGGAAAGCTACCAAAAAGGGGGTATATATTTAGTATTCTCTTTCAAGAGAACATAAGAAATCGCTAGCTTGTTTCCATCAGTGCCGTTTTATGTGAATCACATCAATTCAGGCACAAGTAAGATGCGACTGAATTCAAATTACAGTGTTTCTTGGTGAACTTGTTCAGAAATTGGCTGCTTGTTCAATTCCCACTTTGCTGTACAATACTTACATACGATACAATGTTGTTATGTTGTTAGGTGCGACTCGACCTTATGAACAAAAGGCCTGAGCACTGTTCATACATAGAGTTTCCAGAGGCAAGCCATTTCAGAATTGGATGCCACTCCTGTTCCCAGGCTTGTTTTAGTCAGGAAGCTCCACCAAACACTGTCCACCATGGGTACCCGTTACCACATTTGTCACATCAGTGTCACAGTGGTCAGCATCACAGCAACCATGAGTTACCTCTGTACAGCAATGCACAGACCAGTGCTGTACCACCTTCGGCTTGGTATTACACAATATACAATACAAAATACAATTATACAATGAATACTTACATATATTACAGTACTTACATACAAAAGTTTTTTTTACTGAGTTGTCAGAAATACCCAGAAAGAAGAATATATTTTTAATAACTTTTAATAATCACAGAGAGCAAAATATATTGCTAAATCATCAGTAACTTGCCCCCTCTGATGGCTTGCATGTTACTGAGATGATGCTAGAAGCTAAGCCACCAGTGTTTCAGATATTAATGTGGTTACTCGTGGTGGACAGGTTTCAGTCAGGCTTCCAGGCTGAGACAGACTAGGAATGATGACCTCGCCATCTGCCTTTGGAAAAATTGACCAGTGTACTCCTTATTATTATCAGCAGAATGTTGCCTAGCAGAATGGCAGAAGATGAACCTCTCAGGTTAGAAGGCATTCAGAATAGGACTGGGGAGAACTACTACCTCATAGTAGAGTGAACTTTAATCATGTGGGTGAAGTAACCTTTCAGAACTTCATTTGCTATTGTCACATAAAACAAGAGAACGGCCGTAAACATCCATTAATAATCAAAGCAAGGGATGTATAGACTGTGACTCTAGGAAAATTGGAAGTTGTCAAAAATGAAATTAACTCCTAAAATCTATGCACCAACCACCCATGGTAAAAATGAAGAAATTGAAGATTTTAACTGACTACAGGCTGAAATTGATGAAACATGCAATCAGGATACACTGGAAATTCATTATTGGTGATTGGAATGTGAAAGTTGTAAAGGAAGTAGTAGTTAAGAAATACAGCTTTGGCAATAAAAACTGTACTGGAAATTGTAAAACCAATGACTTAATTTTTGCAAATACCATTTTCAACAGCATAAACCATGACTGAGCACACAGACCTCACCATTAGGAGTACACAGGAATCGCGTGATCTGCATCTGTGGAAAGAAATGATAGAAAAACTCAGTATCATGAGTCAGACAAGGCCAGAAGCCAGTTGAGAACAAGCCATCAATCACTCATACGCAGGTTGAACTGAAACTTAAGAAAATGAAAACAAGTCCATAAGAGGCAGAGTATGGCCTTGAATCTATTCCACCTGAATTTAGAGACCATCTAAGGAATAGTTTTGCTGCATTGAACACTAAGGACTAAGACAAGAAGAGTTGTGATGTAACATCAAGGACAACATACATGAAGGAAGAAAAAAGGTCATTTTAAAAGATAGAAAAGACCAAGTGGTAGGAGAAAGGTTCTTTAGAGTAGCCAAAGAAAATGATGAAGTAAAAGAGCTAAATAAAGATTTCAAAGGACAGCTCTAGAAGTTGCCGTGAAGTATTATAAGGAAATGTGCAAAGACCTGGAGTTAGAAAACCAAAAGGGAAGAACATCCCAGACATTTCTCAATCTAAAAGAACTGACAAAAAAAAATAAAGCCTCAAGTTACAATTAGGAGATTCTATTAGCAAAATATTGCATAATACAGGACACATCAAAAGAAGACAGAAGACTACACAGTTACATTTTTATAGCCTCCTCCTCTAAAGGAGATATTTTGTGGCTTTTTAAATGCCAAAAAAGAATATACAGCCACTTACCACAGAGAACTGGTCAGTGTTCAAACGTATCAAAAACTAACACCTGATCAAAATTTAGTGGTCCTTAAGAAGTCCAGGCTTCACCACAGGCATTGAAAAGCAAGTGTTCCAGAAGTTGATGAATACCTGTCAAGATATTTCAACAAATAAATCCAAGACTGAAAGTGCTTACTAATCAGCTAAGAAATTTGGAAGATAGCCAGCCAACTAGGAGGGATTGAAAATTTGTGCCTGTTTCAAAGAAAGATGATCCAGGAGAATATGGAAATTATTGAACAACATTATAAACGTCACACACAAGTAAAATTTTACTGAAGGCAATTGGAAAACATTCCAGTAGTACCTCAACAGGGAACTACTAGAAACTCAAGCTGGATTGAAAAGGAATAGGGAATAAGGGATATTACTGATATCCGATGACTTTTGGTTAAAAACAGATAATATCAAAAAGATTTATACTTGTATTGACTTTGCAGAAGTATTATGACTGAATCACAGCATATTATGAATAACATTACAAAGATTGAGAAATCCAGAACTCTTCATTATGCTTCTGCAGAACCTCTACTTAGACCAAGAGACAATTATTTGCACAGAACATGGAAGATATTGTGTGGGAAGTTGTGCATAGGGTTATGTGCTTTCATCATACATATTGAATCTGTATGCTAAGCGAATAATCTAAGCAGCTGGTCTCTCTGAAAAGAAATGTGACCTCAAGATTGGAAGAGGACTTACTAACAATCTGATGAAAACGTCACTTGCTGAAAGCAAACTTGAAATACTTACTGATGAAGTTCAGAGACTGTGAATAACATGCCAACATAAAGAAAACAGCTTCTCACAACTAGACTTCTCATTATCAGCATGATGAGAAATAGAGAATGAGGTGGGCAAGGATTTCTTTTTTACTTGGATTCATAGTCAGCGTCAAGACATCAAATGACATACTGCATTGGATAAATCTACTACAAATGATCTCTTGAAAGTGGTTTGTTGGTTTGGTTTGTGGGCTGTTGGGTGTATTTTTTTTTTTAGTATCACTTTGAGAACTAAGATGCACCGTGATGTTTTCAGTGGCCTCAAACATGCAAAAGTTGGGCAGTAAATAAGGAAAACGGAAGATGAATCAATGCTTATGAAGGACTGTGTTAAAGAAGACTATTAAACATGCCACAGACCCCAGAAGAACACACAGCTGTTACAACCAGAACACTCCTTAGAAGCAGGGATGGTGAGATTTTATGTCTTGTGTTTTGCACATGTTATCAGGAGGGACCAAATCCCTGGAGAAGGACATCATGCTTAGTAAACAGTTAGTTGGCAACAACAACGGAAGACCCTCAGTGAAATGTTGACCCAGTAGCTACAACAGTAGGCTCAAACACAGCATTGATGGAGAAGAAGGCACTGGATCAGTGTTCTGTTCTGTTGCTTGTAGGACTCCTGTAAGTCAGAATCAGCTGGATAGCACTTAACAATAACAACAAAAGGAATAACCAGGCTTAGGAACTTGATAGAGAGCAACCACCTGCAGCTAGATAGCTCTGCAGGTCCTTTATTTACCTGGTGAGCTTAACAGACTGCAAATAGTGCTCTGAGACTAGAAGAGTATAGTTCCTATCCCTTGGTGGCACTAGTTATCAACCAGGAGTGACTCTGCCCCCTCCCCCCCGGGGGACATTTGACAATGTTTAGAGGCATTTTCAGGGAACTCAGGTGGCCTGGTGGTAAGATGCTTCACAGCCAACCTGAAGGCATGTGGTTCAAATCCACCAGCTGCCTCCTGGGAGAAAGATGAGCAGTCTCCTTCCATGCAATTTACTGCCTCTGAAAACCCACTAGAGAGTCAGCTATGGGTCAGTTCTGACTTGACGGTCTAATAATAATAGCAACAGATACAATTTATGTTTGTCACAACTGGGGAGCTGTTGCTGGCATCTGGTGAGTACCAGCCAAGCATGCCACCAAATATCCTAAACAGCACAGTCCCCTGTAATGAAGAATTACCCTACCCAAAATATCAATAGTGCTGCAATTGAGAAACCCTGCTATGTAGCAAGCTTCAAAAGGCTGTCCAGCTCCTTCCCCTTTTTATAATTTTGCATTAAAATCCTGGGCCCTAAAAATAGTGCTTCAGCAGTGGGCTGGGTGCTGGGCACAACTTCTAGAATATGCCAGAGCAGCTAAGCAGGGTCTCAGCTGCCTGGAGGAGACATGTGCTGAGCAAGCCGGCTCTGTTTCAGAGTACTGTCACCATGCATCCAGAGCCCCCCTGCTCTGAGCTGTGTTATACGTTGATCTTAGGAGAAAGAGATGGAATGGGGGTGGGAGGGAGAAAGGAAGAGTAGGGCTAATTATCAACTTAAAAAATTTTTTTAGGGAGCTCTGGTGGCCTAGAGGCAAGAAGCTGCACTGCAATCTCAGAGGTATGCAGTTCAAATCCACCAGATGCTCTGATGGAGAAGGAGGGGCAGTCTCCTGTACCAGTCAGATCCAATCTGACGGTACACACACACAAAATAATAAAATGAAAAACCAAGGTGGACAGAGGGAACTGACCCAGTGGCCTCCCTGGTTTTATGACAGAACTGTTTCCAGACTCCTGGTGTCCTGACTGTTAGATGGGAGACGTGTCCTCCCTGTGCCACATCAGCTGTCTGCTGTGTGTGGCAATGATGGGCTTGTGTGGCACAGCGTTAGTGGTTGTGGTATTTGAGCTGTACTTTCTGACTCGATGCCCCCAGTTAGGCTTATTTGAAGCTTTTCATCCTGTCATTGTACGCTGTTTCACGTATCCCATGAGTCACTATTAAGTAACTAATAACCCTAATTTCCTTTTCAGGACTGTACATGTCATGTCACTCCCTTTCTTCCCCAGGTGTTCAGCTCTCGGCAGGCACTGAACGGCCATGCCCGCATCCACGGCGGCACCAACCAGGTGGCTAAAGCCCGGGCCGCTGTCCCCTCTGGGAAACAGAAGCCTGGTGGTGCCCAGAGCGGCTACTGCTCAGTGAAGAGCTCACCGTCCCACAGCACCACCAGCGGGGAGACAGACCCCACCACCATCTTCCCCTGCAAGGAGTGTGGCAAGTAGGTGAAAGTCTGAATGTGTAAAGGATAACTGCTCTGTGGGGACCAGGCTTGAGATGATGGTCTAAGATTTCTTCAGCTACAAAAGGAACCAGACTCTGAGAACACACTCTCCATCCTTGGGACTCCATGGTGTCTCTTTATGGAAGATCTTGCCTCTTAGTCAGAGTTGACTCATTCTGATGTTTTATAGCCTAGTATGGATGGACAAGTTCAGAGAGTCTATCTCTCATGGCAAAAGTGTATTCTTTCCAGAAATAATGAGTAAGATTCTGGTTTCCATGTCTTTCCTTTATACCCAACACATATTCACACCTGTGCAGGCAGGAACTCTGTCACAGTAATAGTCTGTTCCAGACACTCCTTCCCACCCCTTCCCACCCCCATGCCCAGGGTAGAATCACTAAGAGTCACTACATTCTGCTGCTACATTAAGACCAACCTGAAAATCCTTTTCATTGTGGCACAGCTAATTTCATCAGAGTTAATACTTGAGATAAAACCTACTTGTTATCCTTTCCCCCCTAGCTATAAGAGGGGAAACAACTGAGGGAGAGAAGTAGTAATAGCTAGCATTTATTAAATTAGCATCTGTAGTAATAGCTAGCATTTATTAAACATTTTTTATGTAATAAATTTCATGGGCATCATCTCATTTCATCCCCATGTGACAAACATGTGGTATATGTACTGTTTCTATCCATGTCATAAATACTATTAATTTATCCTTGATAAGGAAACTGGAAGTTCAATAAAATAACCTACCAGTAAAAAGCAGAGCTATTTTGTCTGAGCCCAGCTTTACCTGAATGCAAAGAACTCAGTGTCATAGTGATTAAAAAAATACTTGATTGTAAACATCAAGGTTGAAAGGTCTAACCCACTAACCTCTCCATAGGAGAAAGAGAGTCAGTCTGCTTCCTAAACATAAAAAGCCTGGGAAAATCTGAGGGCACGTCTTCTCTGTCCTAGTGGGTCTCCATAATGGAATCCATGTGACAGCAGTGGGTTTGACTAGAGGTGGAACTTGGGCTCCTGCTACTGTTTAAACCCTGTTGTGTTTGCTTGTTTATTTACTTTGAGTAGAAAATAAAACTACCCAAATGTTAAAGTTGGACGCATTAGTAAGTGCAGTATGGAATTCTGGTTGAATTCTCAGTGAGCCTGCCTGACACCATCATGGGGGACAATTTTTGGGACCTGACTGAGTTTCTCTTTCCATCATCACTGGTTGCGTCAGGTGTTAGAAAGGTTACCTGCCCACCCGGTAGCTGCTAATATGCTGATACTCTACCAAGAAAATAGTTCTTAATGATATGAGTCAGGGCCTCCTATGCATCATATGTATTTTCCTACATGACCTCAGAGGGATCTCTGGTGGCCCAGTGGTAAGATGCAGTGCTGCAATCCCAAAAGCACACAGTTTGACTCCACCAGCTGCTCTTTGAGAGTAGGATGGGCAGTCTCCTCCCATGCAGTTAGCTGCCTCTGAAAACCTGCTAGAGGATCAACTATGGGTCATTTCCGACTCAAAGACACACAGCAACAACAACAGATGACCTCATAGAAACAGAACAGTTAAGCCACTTGCCACGGTACGCTTCTAAGTGGCCACTTGGAGACTCACACCAGACATGCTTTATAGGACAATGACTAGGAAGCTAAACTTTGTGGTGGTAAAGTCTGCTGTTCAAATCCAGTTCCACCTCTTCCTAGATGAATGCCTTCACTTTACTTCTCTGTTAAATGGGGGCAGTATTGGTACCTTCCTTCTAAGAAGGAAGATTGAGAAGATTTAGAGAGATAAAGCTTGATTAACCCACCACTGTCAAGTCAGTTCTGGCCCTCAGCAGCTTTCCTTCACATTTCTGAAGCTGTAAATTTTGCTAAGAGGAGACTGCCTATCTTTATGAAGTAACCAGTGGACTTGAACCACTGACCTTAGGTTAGCAGCTTGACACACTGCATACTATTCAACCAGGGCTCCTTAAACATGATTAGTACAAATAAAGTAACACAGCAAAGAGCTGGTTAGTAAAATTCTTCCTAAGTGTAAAAGGAGCAGATACAATGTGGGAATGGCAGAGTCTGACTTCTGCCTGCTTCGTATAGGAGAACTGTCCCCATCAATAATATCTATCACATCAAACAAATAGCTACATGTTCAGAAATGCCACCCTTCATGCTCCTCCACCTCTTTCTACCAATCATTGTGTCCAATGTTTGTTGCAAACTCACGGACTTTACTCACACTTGTGGGGTTTATTAGAGATAGGTTGAGGAGTGGGGAAGCAAAGAATATCACAAAATGCAAGTCCATGTTTATTCAGAAAGTCCCAAGTCAGCTTAACAGCAAGACACAATTCCTCAATTAGTGAAGCTCCAGGTTCAGTTCAGCAACACAAATGCAAGAAGCCTCTCATTTCCTTAATCATCCAGCAAACTATCTCAGAGTTACAAGTCAGCTTTTCCTTCAATCATCCAGCAAGCAAAACCTCTGTAACGCTATCTCTAAGGTTCCTCTGATTATACCTTGCCACAGTCTCTTCACAGCAGTGCCACAGTCTCTTCACCATCTCTCACAATGAGGAAAATGCTCTCTTAAATTGGTTGCACAGCTATTGATTTGCAAGACCATGTGTCTGCAGTTAAGGTGTCTGGAGATCATGCCCCCCAACAGGGCCTAATGCAATGGGTAGAAAAGCCAGTAGACCATGTGTCTGCAGTTAAGGTGCCTGGAGATCATGCCCCCCAACAGGGCCTAATGCAATGGATAGAAAAGCCAGTATTTAAGGTTTCTGACACCATATTAAGTCTTAATTTTCTAAGTCAACCATCTCCTAAAGAATATATATGCCCTCCATCTAAAATGGGAAAAATAAATAGAATTATGAAGCTGTTATTTATATAGTTGTATTTCTAAACAAAGATTTAAAAAAATTAGCAATGTGGGCATTGTAATTACTGTCACGAGACAAACTGTATGAATGGTTGAATAAAATGTCAATCTGCTCTATAAACTTTCACTCAAACCGCAATAACAAGTTGAATAATAAAAAAATAAAAATTTCTAGCTTTGTGCAGTGGCAATCTCGTACCCAGTGAGGTTTATCCGAGGCACGATTATTGCTAATTGAAAAAAAATAAAATAAAAATTTCTAAAAATTAAAAGAATGCCTATAGACCCCACAGTCCTTGCTCTGAGTACGTACTCCCTACTGCCTCTAAGGCCTCCATGAGGTGGTATCCACCCCCATGAAACTGGTGACCTCTCATGTCATCTGTGGGGTCTTCCTCCCATCCTTGAAGCATGAGGATAGCGAAAGGAGGTTTCAGGGTTCATTCCCTCCTCTGCGCCCTGAGAACATTTAGATGCCAGATGTGTTGTCATTTTCATGTCACTGCCCACTATCCCTTGTTGACTGAAACTGGAAGAAATACAGCCCCACATTGGTCATTAGTTTATTTGCTTAAAATCTTTAAACTACCTTAGGTGTCTGTCAGTCTACTCTCATCTTTTTACCCTGGGCGTCAGAAGCCAGCACCTTCCACCCCATCAGCTCAAACAGGCTCCTACTTCTTACTCCACCAGAGGGAGACAGGATATTTTAACAAAGATTAGTATTTATTTAGCACATTCGGAAGGTGTTCAGTGTAAGGTGTTCTAATTGACTATTGGTTCTGAGGGGTGGGAGTGGGGGACCATTTCCTCCCGTAAAGATTTACAGCCTCAGAGAATGGAGGAAGGGTTGCTAGGCATCAGAATCAACTTGATGGCAGTTCATTTGGTTTGGCTGTCTTTTAGGAGCCCTAGTGGCATGTTGAATTTAAGCTTTGTCCTACAAACTGAAAGGTTGGCTTTTCAAACCTACCAGCCTCCCCAGGGAGGTGAGAGGTAGCAGTCTGCTTCCACAAATGCTACAGTCTTAGAAACTTAGTCTAAGGAACAGATCTACTGTCTCTTACAGAATCACTAGGAATCAGAATCACTTTCATGGTAGTGGGTTTTTTTTTGCTTTGTTTTTTAATCTAGCTGCCTTTCAGTGGTACTCAGTAAATATTTTTCTTGTCTTCTTCTAATGTTGCTTGGAGCATTTTTCTTCCATAACTCTAGTTATGATTTTATGGAAAATAGAAGTGTTTTCATTGGTTTCCCACAGACAGGGTATAAGTAGCATTAGGCAGACAGATGTTCACAAAAGCCCTCTTCTGCATCCTGAAATCCTTTTCATTGCATAAAACCATATTCACAGCACCCACGTGACTCCCGAAGTCTGAGTCTGTTTGACCTGGTCTTAGAAATCAGCTCTGGTAGCCTAGTGGCAGGAAGCTGCACTGTAGTCCCAGAGGTGCACGGTTCGTGTCCATCGGATGTTCCGCTGGAGTAGCAATCTCCTGTTCCAGTTGGATCTGATAGCACACAATAAGGAAAAGAGAGAAATCATTGTGATCTTTCTTCTTATATTAATTTAGGAATTAATGTAATTATTTCCAGAAACATCTTCTCCCCATCAGCCAACAACCCCATACATGGACACAATTTTTTCTGTAAAAGGTTCAGATGGTAAAAATGTAAGGCTTTGCAAGCACTGCTGTCTCTGTCACCACCATTCAGCTCTGCTGTGGTAGCAGAAAAGCAGACCAAAAATGAGTGGACATGGCTGTGTGCCAGGGAAACACTCCTTACAACACAGCCAATGAACCTGACCCTCTGGCCACAATTTGTAGACTTCTGATCTACAGAATTCTTTTCAAAAATATGATCTCCTTATATCTCAGCCTCAAAACATCAACAACCTCGATAATTTGGACCTGGTAGTATTTTTGTCTGGGAGATGGGCTGCTCTTTGCACTGTAAACTGTTTAATGGAATCACTGGCCTCGACCTACTAGGTGTCGGAAGTGCCTACCTCCACGTTGTGAAAATTACCAGTGTCTCCCGGCATTGCCAAATGTCCCCCAGGAGAAAAAAAAACACCCTGGCTTAAGCACCTTTATTTTAGTGTAAAGAAAACAGGAAATGATGAAATGTGATGGCCAGTAGGAAGGAGAATAAGGTACACCTGATAGACGAGAGCCCATTGGAACTGACCTCATAGAATTCTTGATGATCTTGAGAACAAGTGGATTGAAATAAAGGAGCAAGTAGATTGAAGTAGAGGGGGCCTCATTCTGAAGAGAAAAGGTTGAAGAACTGACATGCGGCTTGGGGGGAACCTAAGAAAAGAGGGGATAAATCATCTACACAGCATTGAACAGACGAGGGAGAGAGCTGTATAAAAGAAATATATGATTAGGTATTATTGGCATGACAAGAGTCCAGAATAAGAGCTACATAGTAAAGTGGTCTAGGGTGGGGGTGGTGTTCTGTATAATAATGAAAGAACTTTTTTCCCTCAAAAAATTGATCGGGGGTGGGGCAGGGCAGGGAGGAAAATATACAACTATGAGCAATTGGAAACCAAATTTCTTTATAAACTTTCATTAAAACCCTAGTAACATGAATGGAAAATCTCTGTAAATGTTCATTAAAATTAAAAAAAATATATATCTCAGTAACAAAAATAAAGTGATCCATGCAGTATAGGTACAACAGTCCTTCAAGACTTGGAACTGGGGAAAAACTAGAACAGAGCAGAAGTGGATAAAGGGGCCATTCGAGCTTGTTGGCTTGATTAAAGGCATCTCCAGTCGAGAGGGTGTGGTTGTGAGGAGCTGAAGGAGGAAGAAGGACCTGCCTTCTACACCACAGACACAGGGCCTTTGAGAAGTCATTCTTCATTGTAACAGAAAGGAAGCATCATGCTCCACGAATGTGTTCCTGTGTATCCTCTTTCCTTGAAGAGGACAGAAGGGTGGTGACAAGTCATGGGGGAAGGAGATCCTTGGAGTTCAAGAGCAGACGCACTGACAGAACCATCCTAAGTCCTTTCTAGGTCCTAGATCAGGTCGGAACTGACTCACAGCTGACCCTCCAACAGGTTTTCAGAGGCTGTAAATCACACAGGAGGAGATTGCCCGTCTATCTCCAACAGAGGAGCTGGTGGATTTAAACTGTGTAGCTCTGAGTTGGCAGCACAGCCTCTTACCGCTAGACCACCAGAGCTCCCTGGCCCTTTCTTCAAAAGACACCTTGATTTCTAAGTAGAATCTCCTTAATGTCACACCCTTTTTTTCCTTCTTGATTTTCAGGGTCTTCTTCAAAATCAAAAGTCGCAATGCACATATGAAGACCCACAGGCAGCAGGAGGAGCAGCAGAGGCAAAAGGCTCAGAAAGCAGCGTTTGCAGCAGAGATGGCAGCCACCATCGAGAGGACTACAGGGCCGGTCGGAGGGCCGGGACTGCTGCCCCTGGACCAGCTGATCAAACCCATCAAGGACGCGGACATCCTCGACGACGACATGGTCCAGCAGTTGGGCGGTGTCATGGAGGAGGGCGAGGTGGTGGACACCGACCTCCTCTTGGACGACCAAGATGCAGTTTTGCTTCAGGGTGACACAGAACTGTAACTTGTCACCTTAGAGACAATGGAAACCCTGGCCTCCGTCTTCATGAATCAGGAAACCTGGACTGCCTGCTTGTTTTGTAACCATTTTAAACTACCTGTTTAAAAAGTGGTCGTTTTATTCAGGTTTGGGGAGGGGGGATGTTTCTTTTATTTAAAAAATTTAAAAAGGTTGTTTTGTTGGGGAGGGGGTGGTCGGAGGGAATAAATAATTGGCACAAATATCTTTAAGAGGTGTTTCATCGGGGCTCCATTCTCCTGCAGTCACGGCTAGCAGGAAATGAACCTGGCATTCCTGTTCCATTTGCTTTCAGCTGTCCACCATCCTGGTTGCCTTTTATCTCAAAGCTTGCTTTAAGAGAGAGAATGTGAGTACGAGTATGTGTGTATGTGTGTATGAGAGCGAGAGAAGCAGGCTCTCCTCCCTCTGTGCTGGGACCTTGGGCCATCCTTTCCCACCAAGAGTTATTTTCATTCTGTCCTGACCTCATTCTGTAGTTTGCAATGAACCTAGTGTCTTTTCCAGGAGACTCTTCTGCAGGAGTAACTTTCCGGTGGGCAAGTTAAACCCTCATGTCCCAAACACGAAAATTGGTTTTTCACTCTACCTTGCCTGTCCTTTGATGGCCTATTTGTAGGAACTGAACACTCCAAGATCTCAGGCCTTTGTGTTCCGTATCCACCTGGCTGTGACCTGCCCACGACCTAGTCTGTAGGGCAGATGTGACTTCTCACATGTCCCAGTCGCCATCTTCAAATCGTGACTGATCCTTCCTGAATGAAATAACCCCAGCAATTGATAGCAGGGTGGTAGAAGATGGCTTCTGTGTTCGGGGAGGGTAGGTGACAGCCACATGTTGAAATCTCTAGAATATCAGGAAATGTTCTTTTGCCCAAAACCAAGAGCTGAAGGGTCTGGTGTTTGGGGGGCTGTTTTTTTTACTTCCTTCAACGCTGTTAATGGTCAGTGGAGTTCTGTAATTACGTTGTGCCATTTGGACTGTGAAACTTCATTCACTAGGAATTCATATATGCTAGACTGGTTCACCTTGACATGAGCTATGAGGAGAAGGGTTTTCTGACAGAGATAGTAAAGGGTCGATGGCATTGAAAGCCAGCCAAAAATGGTTTCAGACACCACTTTGGTTCTGTCTTTGCATTCAAACTATGAATGTATTAATTACATATCATTTACCAAAGCACTTCAAGAAGTCTCCGAGCTGCATAACTTTGTCTTGTCCTGTCTGTCAACAGGCTTGCTGTTTGCACTGAAGGAAATAAACCTATAATCCTACAGATATGTGAGTTTGCTCAAGCACCTGGCTGAGTCAGACTGGTCTAGCCTACTGTTCAGGCAGGGGTGACCTGCCTCTCCCCTTCAGCATTACACCTGTCACCTCTGGAGCACATGTTTTCAGGCCTTGCCTCCGCTAGGTAAGCTTGTTCCTCAGTTCCACATGAGTATGAGGACCACACCAGGCCACTTGACTGACAGGCTACTATCTTGACATAAGAGTGACTACCAGCCGAAGCATGAGGGCAGGACCTGAAGTGTCTTTCCAGTTTGACTGCAAAAGTTAGCACAGCCTAACTGGGAAGTCACATGTGGCCCACAGTGGGCCCCCTCACATAGTGTTCTCCTCACCTCAGGAAAGCCATGGATAGAAGAAAAATAGTCTTTCCATTTCTATCATTCTGTGTTCAAAAAAGTTCTGGAGGCTTCCTTCTTCTCTAGGGGTTTAAAAAAAGTATTTCATTTGCTGCCATTTCAGACAGGTCCTTATAGCTTGTGTTTTATCTAAGTGGTTCTGAGTTAAGAACTCCCCTTGAAAATAGACACCACTTTTTGGCAGAGCTGTTCGAGCTGCCATATTGTGTCAGCTGCTGCAGGAAGTCGGTCCTGTGAGCCCTTTCCTCCACTTGCTGGTGTCTGGAAGTGACTCTCGAATAGGTCTTTGGAAGCTTACCTATCAAAGGAGCAAACACCCAGAAAAATGTTTATAAAGCATATGCATTTCCTCTGTTGGGAGACTTGCCCGGCTGTTCCTGTTTTCAACATTAAAAATAAACTGAGTTGCCAATGTAAAAATAAAATGCACAATTATATTTTTGTTTTTCAGGCAGTAACAGCATAGGCATTTTTATGTTTTACTTGAAATAACCAAAGAACTCCTCTTTATCGAGACAGTTCAAACTCCTGAATTCGTGTTCCTTGACAGTATCAACGTAAAGAATTGACTTCATAGTAAAATATTGCACTTTTTCTTTGAAATGATCCTGCCTGCATGAATGCATTGTGTTCTGGCTCCCACCCGCCCCCACCCCAAAAAACTTTCCTTTCTAATGTTTAATGTCTTCAACACCGATACTGTTTACTATCAGATGGTTTTTCATTAGTGAATTTAGACCTCTTTAAGAAAGCTTGTATATAAAAGTTAACAGATATATTTTATGGAGAAACCCATCTTATTTTCAAATATATTTAACTGCTGTTATATTTTATTAGAGGAAGGGTGTAAATATTTTCTAGGAGTTCTATTGTAAAGAAAAGTATTTTTGAAAAAAAAAAAAAAAACAAACCCCAACAGCAAACAAGCCAACCTTAATGTAATAAAAATGAAAACCTTTTTAAATAGTGGTTGTGATTGCTTCTTGTTCTGGCTTTATTATGTTCTATTCTCAGCAACTGACTTGCATGCCTCCCATTTCAGGATGTAATTTATTCACTTTTGCACTATTATAAGTTGACGTCATAATATTCAGTGTGTGTAGCTATATCTTCCCGGAATGCAAGTCCCTTGATTCATACCAGGAGCACTATGTATAACATATTCCTAATTTTTCTTTTGTAATGTGTGTATTTTTAATAAGGATTTTATGTAACATTTTGGCAAAAAAAAAAAAAGGACAGTATTTTCTAGTGAATTTTATAATACCGTTTTGCTAAAAATGTTTCTTCCTAGGTCAGTTTTTGTTAAGATGAACCAAAAGTCTTATTTTACCAGGGGTTTAAAAAAAAAGTTTGAAGCTTGAAAGCAAAGTTATATTTAAACATCATATGTAACAAATAAAGATATTTTATAGACTTGTCCTAAAAAGGTGCATTCCTTAAAATAACTGGGACATTCTAAGTTGGTTTCTTCCCCCCTGAGTAAAAAGCTTTTTTTTTTTTCTTCTTTTAAATCATCGTGATGGTCTTTCAAAAAAAATAAATAAATCACAAAGAGGATTTAGCTTAAACGTTCCAGTCATTATCCATCTCAGCAATATATTCCACTTCCTATGGACGGGCATTCATCAAATAAAGATGTAACCAAATAGACACTGTCATATTTATTTGTGAAACCTGGATTCAATATTGCATCAGCTGCTCTGAAAATAAAATATTACCTTTCTGAGTTTCATTTGGCTTAACTATTCCTTCTTTCAAACACCTGAGAGGACTTTGCAGTGCTTTATAGATGCTAATGAATGAGTTGGTTTCGGTAGACCTCTTTGGGAGGTCTGTTGATCAGCATGAATAGTCATCAAAACAATCGCCTGCCCTGGTTCCTTTCAGCTCCTCAAGCTATGGCCCAGCCAACCAAAGGTTGGTAGGCTCCGCTGCGATCCAAAAGGTTGGCAGTGGGAACCTGCCAGCTGCTCCCAGGTGGGAAAACATGGCCATCTGCTCCCAGTTAAAACTTAGCAGTTGAGATACAGCACTTAACAGTGACTCCGTGTGACAGAATGGGAGTGCTCTCATTGTGACCCTGTGAACAGTGGATCGGAACCCTGCCCTATCCTGTGCCATCCTCCCCATCTCTGACATACTTACATCTGTTGTGACAGTATCAGTTCATCTTTTTGAGGGTCTACCTGTCTTGAACTGACCCTCCACCTTTCCCTGCCTGATGTCTTTTTTTTCCTTTTAAATTCATTTAAATGAAAGTTTACAGAGACTGGGTTTCCATTGTAGCACACTTTCCTACTGCCCACCCCTCCTCCCAGTTTGCTCTTCTCTTTGAAAAATAAAGAAAACTTCTTTCACTGTTATACAATCCATGCCCACCCACCCCTGCCCACGCCTCCCACCCCCAGTCCACTCCACTATGCAGTTTGGCCAACTTTTTGAGCACATTTGCTCAATGCAGTTGTGAGGATCTTTAATCTTCATCAAGAACTGCCTCAAATCCTCTTTGCTTCTAGCAAGCAAGCTTGTTTCACCTGGATGTCACAGGTTGCCCTCTTCCTACCCAGTTGAGACATTGTTTTCCATTCAGTTTGGCTTCTCAGATTGCTCAGCATTAAGTATGAGTAAGCATGTTGGGGGGTGGGGGGAATCTATCCTGACACATACATTTGTTTGTTGCTGTTTATGCCTGATGTCTTTTTCTAAGGACTGGCCCCTCCTAACAGTATGCCCAAAGTATGTGAGATAAAGTTTCAACATCCTTGCCTCCGAGAAGCATCCTAGGTGCACTTTCTCCAAGACTTATATTTGTTCTTGGGATGTTCAATACTCAGCTCCAACCCCACAACTCAGAGACATTGATTATTCTTCCATCATCTTTAATCACTGCCCAATTTCCAGGTGCGTAGTAATTGAAAAGACCATTGCTTCAAATGTGTGCATCTTAGTCTTTAAAGTGACATCGTAGCTCATTAGTACTCAGGAAAGGTCCTTGACAGTAGATTTTTTTTCCCCCATGCAACATGTCTCTTAAATTCTTGACTGTTGCTACCATGGATCCAAGTGAAATAAATGACGTTTTTAACAGTTGCAGTCTTTTCTCCCATCTATCATGATGTTGCCTATTGGCCCACTGGTGAGGATTCCGTTTTCTTGATGTTGAGATGTAACCCATGTTGAGGGGTATAGTCTTTGATCTTCTGCAGCAAGCATTTTAAGTCCTCACTTTCAGCAATCAAGGTTGTGTCATATGCATACATGATGTGGGGTGCATTTTTTCCCTTTTTTATTGGCTTGCATATGATAATTCATATATAATGTAGGTTGTTGAT